CCCCCGCCGGGAATCGAACCCGGGACCTTTGGCTTTACGCACCAATGTTCTGACCACTAAACTACGAGAGGTGACAACAACAACCACGACCAACCGACCTACAAGGTTAACGATCCGTCGAACTAATGTAACTATATACTGAATATACTATGATTAAACATACATATAATTTAGATATCTTTTAGAAGTGAGTTAGTTTAATATGAAATATTATTCTGAAAATTCATTTTTGAATTTTATACCCACTACACGCTACCTCAAATTATTGAGGGTATATTCAGTATATATAGTCACATTAGTACGACGGATCGTTAACCTTGCAGGTCGGTTGGTCGTGGTTGCTGTTGTCACCTCTCGTAGTTTAGTGGTCAGAACATTGGTGCGTAAAGCCATAGGTCCCGGGTTCGATTCCCGGCGGGGGTGTGACAACAGCAACATTTTTTCCCTCGTCAATTTGAGGTAGCGTGCAGTAGGTATAAAATTCAAAAATGAATTTTCAGAATAATTTTTCATATTAAACTAACTCACTTCGAAAAGATGTCTAAATTGTATGTATGTTTAAATATATTTCTTTTTATTTAATGTGGGGTGTACAATGCTACACATTTCAAATGTAATTATGAACTAAATACCCATCCCAAAAGTATTACTATATTTTCATAACCTAATACCTATTTGACTATAATTTTTTTGAATACCCATAATTTTTTGTACTTTCGCTTTCATCTTGCGACATTAAACAAATATTTTGAGTAATATTGCTTAATTACTATTTCTAATTTACTTTTATTGGAAAAAAACATTTTTGAAAAGACTGCTGTTTTAATTTAATTTCGGTTGAGAATATTTTTACATTTTTTAATTGACAAAGAAAGGGGTACTAGGGGAATCCTATGCTTTGAAAATAGTCCACCGATGCTTATCAATAATAAAAAATTACTGGGACGAACATTGTAGTTAACTAATAACTTTTACATTTAGTTTTAAGTTTAATTTATGATTTTAACAAAATAACTTAGTAAAGCCATTATTTAAAGGCATGCAGAGGAGAAAACGTAGACACGGGAGTTATGCTGAGAGCAGCTAGTCTGACTATAGATTCTAATTCTTCTTCGGCCCCAACATACACGTTACCTGCTATGGCGGATATACTGATAATGTACTCAACATACGACGGTAATTCTACCTCTACCATTTTATTTAATATTTTGTTTTGTGGTTAGATGCGATCCAACAGGAAATAGTGTCGTTTTTTCTTAAAGTTAGGTAGGTATATGAAAAGCATACCAATTGGATGTGTTATACAAAACCTTAATATCTAAGGTCTAACACATAGACACATGATATACACCTAAACCATATTTATAAAAGCGTTTAAGTTCAGAAGCAGCAAATATTTACTAAATACGCCCACTCGATTTTTAGGAGCTTGTAGAACAAACAAAATAGCTCAAACCCCAACGCCAAAACACGACACTTTAGTTGTCCGAAGCACTTTTCGGTAACAAGGTTACCTTCTTCAGGGATTGAAGTGAACTAAACCTAAAACCTTCTAGGTTTAGTTCAGTGTTTTGGCGTTGGGTTTTGAGCTATTTTGTTTGTTCTACAACATCCGCCAAAGTTTTTCTAATCTTCATATTATAATGTTCGTGGGTTTAACAAAATAACTTAGAAAGAACTTAAAAACACTATTAAATTATTACTAAACTTAGGTTATGAATTATTCTATTTATTTACACTACTGTTGATATATCACTATTCACTGCGCTATTTATTTCACTGCTATCACNAATAATAATAATAAATATTAAACAAAAACGAATATAAAAAATTAATTTTAACGGTGTTACCGCTACATAATTGAATTCATACATTGTCGGGCAATTTTAGGAACTATATAGATATCCTAGGAATTGTATATAATGACGGATCTCATACATTTTCGATAACATATAAAATTCAATGCAAAGAAAATAGTTGTGAGAGCTCATATGTTGACAAAACCAAACCACATTTTAAGACGAAACTCAATGAATACAAACGAAACATGAAAGAAAAACCAGACTCTATCATCTCAAAACACATCCACGAAACTGGCACAATCTAGATTGAGAAGCCACTACCATATATCAGATAATGAAACCAATTACAAAAAATGCTTAAATTTTAATTTCAGTATCTTTAGTAGCCTGACCACAGTCGGTTAAAGCAGACCACAGTAGGCTGTGTTCCTTAAGTAGAATTAATTTTTAGTTTGGTTAAAATCACTTGTTTAGTTTTAGTTTTTTAAATGTAATTTTTTCACCCATCATGACCCAAATTTTCAATGTTACAACAGTCGTATAATGGTTAAAAATTTAAATTTTTCACCTTACCACGTTCTAGACTACTCAAAATTAAGGACAGTAATAAAACTTTTGATTTCATAACTTAATACCAATGACTATGCGGTTTCCAACTTTCCAGATTTATCTTTATTACAGATTTATGTCATCAATTTCTATTAGATTGATAAAGATTACAAAGCCTGGTAACCGAGATGTCTCTTTACCCAAGTTATACAGGATTCCATTGACAAATTATACTTTCTTAATAATTCCTTATACCTATGTAGTTGCTTTCGAGATATTCAACTGTTTTTTAAAAACATGATTTCATCTGCTTGAATGAGACCAAATAGCATATCACTACATAGTACAAAACAAAGTCGCTTTCCCGTTGTCTGTCCCTATGTATGCCTAAATCTTTAAAAACTACGCAACGGATTTTGATGCGTTTTTTTTAAATAGATAGAGTGATTCAAGAGGAAGGTTTATATGTATAATACATGAATAATATAGTAGGGAAACACTGATAATTTTAGAGGTTTCTAATGTGATGTCGTAAATAAACACATTTTTTGCGCTTACATTGCAAACGCTGGCTGAACCCTACGAGATAGATCAAAATAATGTACTACAATATTGTACATCTTAAAAGGGTCTACAAAAAAGTCCGGGATGGTATATGTCTATCTCTTAAGGATAACCCACAATAACCATTTTTATCCTTTACTTTTTATGAGAAATAATGACTTATTTACGAAGCGATTGTAGGCAATACAGCATTAATTCTTATCCAATTAAGTACCTTAAATACATTGTGCATTTAATATAGATCAATATGGCCCTTTACGACATGTAATTTAAATGAATATTTTCGAAGATATTACAGATTTAAAATGCAGGGACATAGCGTTGCAGCGGTACCGACCGGGAGGCCGGTTTGTATTGTCTAATGACAAAAAAACTGTAAATGTTGTATTTAAAGACATTCTGTAGTATATTTAGTATGTTCAGGGGGTGTCTTTTGAAGATTTCCCCTTCTCGACAATAATCTAAACAAAACAAAAATATATTTAGTATCAGCATTGCATCCGTTCGAAGCTGGGGCGGGTCGCTAGTAAACCATAAAAGCTAAATGTTTGCGGTTTGGACAGTTTATTTTAGCACGAATTACCGTATCTTTTTTGCTATGGGCAAAATGTGTACAATACTCAGTGCCGGAAATATCGAAAATTATTTTTGACAATTTTATAAGATGAATAACTTTTTTTTCAAATGGAATGACCTTTGTTAATACCGCTCGATGGGAAATTAAAAGACCTTTCTACTGATATAAACTTTGAACAGTTTCCAGAAAACATCGATTATAATCGAAAGGATAGTGTGCCATGCATAGCATAATTGGATCATATTATCGTAGCTACCTTCAATGGAATAATTCATATTTTATCGTCATACATTACGGGAATCAGAAGTCCCTTATCTACTAAGTAGGTACTGTACACATGTATTTAAGTATAATTATGCAATAAGCCTAATTGGCCTGAGTTTCTCTTTACAAAATTTCCTCCGCACTTTACCCCATTCCGACCAAAAATGCCGATAAAATGCGTAAAAGAAAGATCCAGCCAAAACTAGTTAAAATTTTCAGGATGTACGTATGAACGCCGCAAATCAGCGTGGAAATATTTCTCATTCAGCATCTCTATATTGGCGTACTAACTGCAGAAAAATAGCTATGACAACAATAAATTGTTAAAGCAACTATATTACTGCAGTGGGGTTCTTATTACATCGGACATAAAATTAGCAATTTCATTAAACTTCTTGAAAAGATTTTCTTAAATGCACACATCCAATACTAGAAAAATTTCACTAATGTTACAATTAATTAATTACAAGCATGTTATTGATGTTAAATGTACTTAAAAATGTAGGGATGAGTGACAAAGATAGAAGAGTGATACATAGTTTGTATAAAGAGCAACAGGCAGTTGCAGATGGGGCTACAATGTAGAGAAGTAAATATTAGGAAGGGAGTCAG